GTAATAGATTCACGGCGTTTAGGTTTTTCGAATAACCTGCTTAGTAAAATACTCTCGTTTTTTTTGTAATTACGGTTTTTAGAATGTAATAATAAATAATTATGAAAACTGCTAGAAAAATAAATAAAATTACCTCTCTAAAGTCTCACCCAAAAAAATTTCCTTTCAAAAATGTTACATTTGGAAATCAAAGTAAAGTCACTGGTAGAAAAGTTCTTTGCAGCAAAAAAAAAAAAAAAGTATATACATTTATCTACAGAGTACCTACTAAATACAAATTACGTAAAAACTCGCAAAATTACTAATTTTATTGGGAAAGTTTTACCACGCCCGGAAAAAGTAAATAAAAGTTTTCTAACAACATTTTAAGTCTTGGTGAATATATTAAACTAAATTACATTAAAAAAAAAAAAAAAAAAAATTGAAAATAATAAATTATTTTAACGAATTATTTTCGTAAATTTTCCCGTACTTTCTGCGTTTATTTTTTGTTCAGTTTTGTGAAATTATTATTAAAAAAAAACTACGAAAAACCAACAGTATTATTCACCGGCTAGAGTCCATAGATTAAAAAAAGTATAAATAGTTGAATAACGATAACGCTGATATCTAATTATCTTCTAAATTGGCGGCAAGATTATATTTGTAAGCCGATAGGATCGAGTGGTGAAATAACTAAACCAAATCCGAAATTCGCTGTCTAGTGAAATTATCGCGTTCCGGGTTTCGGGGAGAATCCGAAAAAACGACGACTCGCTTTACGAACGAACTTCAGATCAAACAAAACAGATGTATACACGTATACAGATTAAGCCTGCTAAGCCTGCTCACCCCAATTCTCGTGTTAAAAAATGTGTACACATTCGAATTCCGATTTTTGAGGTGGTCGGGTATAGTTAAAGCCGATATTTTCGAAAATTAAGTTTTTCTACGGCAATTTAATGTGGATCCTGCGGCGATACCGACTTCGGTTTTTCCAACGAGAACCTATGTTAGAAATACCGTTCGGGCGGATTTCCAGACGCAGCGTTGCTGTAAACGAATATCGGTGTTGACATTTTTTGATTTCCGTCGACCCGTTAACGAGATATTCCACTTTTAAGTTTAGTTCGGGGGAGAGTGGCGGGTGGAGCATCATTTGTGAGCAGGCACGGCGCGCGGTGTTTTATTAGCGTTCCGCCGCTCACCCCCTAGCTATTATAAAACTCAAAAGTGAACTGCGTCGTCGTCGGCTTTAACTGCGCTTGAAAATCTCGGAAATCAGAATTCGAAAAAACGCAAAATTTAACCGAAAAAAATTAATAAAAATTGGGGCTAGCGCGCTTAGTGCCGAATCATCCTGAACATAACGTACACAAAGATATTTCTCGCTTTGCCGAGAATCTAAAAAAAAAAATTACGTCGAAGACGTTTCGGTTGTCGGGTCATGAACGGCGGCCGCTAATCGCTCCCCGCCGTCACCGCGGTACGGACGTGATTCGCACATCCGGCTTGATTTTCGGGAGGTGGGGGAGGAGGGGGGAGGAGGGGGGAGGAAACGGGTGATAGGAAAAAAACAAAAAAAAAAAAAAAAAAAAAAAACACCTACCGCACTGTCCACACACCGCGCAATAAAATGTATTGCGCGCGGGCGGTTCGTCTTGACGCGCGACCCGTAACGCAATATATCAAACGGCGGGCCGCGTTTTATTGGAAAACGGTTTTTATTGGAAAAACGGGCCGCCGCGGAGTATAAAATTGTTTTATTATTCACCTATAATACCGCCGCGGAAAAGGTCGTCGATATATTTTGCGTGCGACACAATGGGATTTCGTTTGCATTGTGTTTTTTGACGATACGTAATTAAAACTGCCGCGCGATAGGCGGCCGCGGCATTAATCAAAACACGGCGGTTTGACGTTTCCGATTCATTATCGGCACCGCTTGTGTTTCGGCGGGCGCCCCGTGTGCGCGGTCGCGTTGCCGGGCCGCGCCGCGTTTAATGCGCCGCACACAAGGACCGCGTAAAAGAACAATAATAAACAAACAAACAAAAAAAAAATATACGGACACACTTCGCGCCGTGGGTGGGCCAGCCACTGTTGTAGGCGGGGAGTCGGCAAAGATATAGAGGGGAATTCAATGCGCATCCGTACGCGACGATTGCGCGCCGCTAACCGTAAACGATTCTGAGCGGAATTCGCACGGTCATTCCACGTTTTGGGAAGACCGGAATATTTTTACGATTTGAAAACAACACGTTTCGTACATTTTCCCGGTTTTCCCCCGTTTATCATAAGAACCCCTGGGAAAATCGAAAAACTGCCACCCTATAATACCGCTCCAGTCGAATTTCCTTGCAGAAAAACGTGCTACACATTAAAATTGACGCGAAATTGCTGGTAAAATAATTGTTCGCAGAAAAAAAAAATAAACATCATTGGGTTGGGTTGGGTTTCCGATTCATACGCTACGCATCGTAACATATTCTATTCAAATGTTTCGACCCTTACCGCGGGGCAGCCGATTTCAGCCACGGTTCTTCCGGGTTTCCCTTGGTCAGGGTAAAGGAGCGGTGAGGCGACGGAGAGTTCACAACAGGTCAAATTACCCGATCGTGCGGTGGGGATTAGGAACTTTTGTTTCATTAGGAAATGTCTACCTCGTACCCGAGTTAAATGGGAGGGGGAGGGGGGAGGCAGATGATGAAATACCATCATCAAATATTTATGAAAAATAAATACGATTACAAAAATTAAACATAACGTTATATTGTGAAATTTAACAACGTAACATGAACTATGGAATCCATAATATGGACCACAACATCTAATTACAAACAGATCGCGGTTAAATGAAGATGGTTATAACATTGAACTCTATACGATATCAGCAATCCTATATAGAGTTCAATCTTGAGTTCGCAATGTTTACAATTTAGTTGTATAGATTAAATTTAGTCTCTAGACATTTGGTTAAAACCAAGAATTATGATAAATCACAGATTCTACAAAATTTGTATACAATAATCTGTGATAGAATTACATACCTACTTTTTTACAAGTTTATGATATATTTTTATTTTATTATGTACGAAAAAAAATCCCACGGGGTTTGAAGTCAATAGCATCAAGCGGGAGTGCCGAATTCACTGACGTATTATAATAGTATTTATATTATTTAGACGACCGGAGCAGGACAACTTTTAAAATCTAATCAATAATGTGTATTTTATCTTCCCGTGTTGTAATTTCCGGTCGTGCACGCCGTTAGCAGTCTTTATATTAGGTACATATACGGAGTGATCCATTTAAGCGACTACATTCAATATTTGTAAAAGTATGAATTTTTTAAAAAGTTTTCTTTTTTTTGAAATGCAGTTTTAAATTGTTATAAAAATATTATTTTTTGTCGCCCTTATTTTAGATTTTGAGTATAGCGAAGAATTTATTGGTTTTACAAAGAATTTTATTTTTTATTTTTATTTGAACAATTTTTCTACCAGAAAGCTTACTCCGATGTATGCTATGTAGACCCTTTTCCGGAAAGAAAATTTTCTGAAGTTAGTACTTTAGACAGGTCATATTTAGATTTTTCCAAAAAAATTAGGAAATCCGGGAAAAAATGGAGGAAAACAGGAACACAGGAAAATGTACGAAATTTATTAATAAAATATTATGGTCTTTTTTTTTTCTGTGAACAACTATTTTACCAGCAATTTATAATGACAGCATTTTTTCTAAAAGGAAATCTTTATTTTAAGGGGGTTATTTTTTGATTTCCCCAAGCAACTTTTTCAATAAATGGGAAAAACCAAGAAAAAAAACATTGGAAAAACAGGAATATAAGTGCAATATTAAACAAATATCATTAAAGAAAATATATAATGCCTATGCAATTATTTTACCATAATATGGCATAAATATTGTTGATAAAGTAACACTATCAACTGAATTCCACTCAGAATCGTTTTTTCGTTAGAAATGGTTTATCGTTGCTTAAAAATATGCATTACATTTCCTTTTCAATACCTTCCCAAGTTCTCATCTAGAACACTCGCTGCACGCAAGTGGGAAGTTGCTTGCCACTTTTTTTTTTGCTCATCATATTTATTCAGAGGTTCAGCCACCCAAAATTTGAAACACTCTTTGCGACTATGAGTTTCATAATTGTATACGAGTTTTTTTTTTTTTTTTTTTGTACGCGATAAACGAAATACGATAAGTAAATCTTAAATGTTTATCGATATAATTTAACGATGATTTTTCATTTATAATGGAATATTTGAAAATGTATTAGACTTTTTAAATTTATTAGATACGGATCATTAACTTTATATATTTAGAGATTAGAAAATAGATATTAGTTAATAATTTCTTAACACATTATTATACTTGAGTCAGTTGTTTTACGAAAATATAGGAATCATCATAGGTATTCCTATCGAAAAAGTGATAAGTTGAATATTTGAATTGGTAAAATGTTAAGCCCGATTTCAAGCCGATGACCTTGTAATCAAAGGCAATTGAAAACTTAACAGAAATGATCACAATCTATTCTTAAATATGAATTTTAAAAAAATAACTTAAAGAAAACAATATCACTATATTAATTCGACTATTCAATAATCAATCAATCAGAAAAATAACTCATAGAACTCCACTCGGTTTTTATTTTGTTTGCAAATGTTAATAATACCTTTCATTCGGAACCTATAAACAACACACGGTTACATTATACATCTATCAACTATATTTCACTTTCAACAGTGCATTTATGAAATTAAAATTATTGTAATATTGATTATTATTCTTAAAAAAAAATACACGCAATAACAATTTTCATATAACAATTATTATTTTTAATTGGTTAATTATTTAATAATAAACATAACAAATGTTATAGGTAACTAATTTTAAATTGGTAACAAAAATTATAAATTTATATTCGGAAAAGAATATTTAGCCCTATAGAAATAATAGTTATTGGCATCAAGAAAAAAAAAAAAAAAATTTGGTTTATGCTTTAAGTATCGCTGAGTTAATAACATTATAAACACGGCAACAACTGTCGTGTACAATGTATATTAATGTGTACGCTATATTTTTTCATGCGATTTTAAGTTTATCTAAAATGACATAACCGCTGGCCAAATCAACGGATCGATTTCGTAGTGAATATACGGATTATTGTTCCAGTGATATTTGCGGAGAACGACACACGATACAACTGGCTCATTTTGACTCGATGCTTGGATTTTTTTATTTTGTTTTTACTTCAACAGTCTCCTTAATCTTTTTCGTGATTGTTTGATAAGAACACCGGGTTTACTTCCTGTCACTCGGATACGTTTAATATTGTCATCGTTAACACGACGATTTTCCTCATGTTTCCGTTTGTTTGTCTTGCCACCACTAGTAAATAAGTCGCCGTCATTTGTTTCTGGTACGGGTTGTGTTGTAGATTCGTCTAAAATGTACTGACTATATCTTACCTTTCTGAAATACTTTACTGCATTTTTAATACGAATTTCTTCGTCCTCATTTAAACAATTATCGTCTGGCATGAAAACACTAGCTAAAAAAAACATCCAATCTTTAAACGTATTGTCGCACGAAAACCATCTTGTCCACAATGCGTCATCGAGATGTTTTACATGTTCTCGAATATTGTCGATGAACATGTTTAATTCGATCTTGAGTTCATTATCCGGGGTGCAACAAAATTCAATCATCCTGTTGAATACCAAAATAAAACAACTAGACAAATGTGCCATATTACGTTTAATGTTATCGAACTCCCTAACAAACATCGCAATTCGATGACCAATCTGCCGCCACAGAGCACCTTTCAACGTTAGTTCTGAATAAGATTGAAAATCTCTTTGTGATAAAAGTGAAGCCATTTCATTTATGAATTGTTCATCATAAGTTATATCATCGGATTCTAAAATCGTATGAATATGATTTTTTAACGTCACCGTTTTAATAAAAAGTTCATTTGATGCGTAAAACGATTTCGCGTTTGAAACGTGATCGGCCATTTCATGTGCAAGTACTCTCGGTACAGATTTTTCCGAACGGCGTCTATCTCCATCATTTAAATGCGCACTTTGAGTAGAATGATTAATATCGTTTACGGCAGAATGACCGCTGTTCAATTGAAGTTGTACTGCAGAAGTCATTTCTCAACAGCAATTATAACAATAACTACTCGAATAGTTCACACTAAATGAAATACTGATAAATAATATTAGAAAATTCGGCGAAATGTGTAATAAAAAAGTTGACTAGCAAAACTCATGTTCAAATCGTAACAAACAAATCGGTGTAAATAAATTTTCTATAGATCGCCCGTGACAACCGAGTCAATATATTTAATAACTGTTTTTTTCGGCGTACCGTATTATAATATTGCCACCGGATATCGTACAAGTGCGTTGATTTAACACGTTTAACATGGTTCAACTAATGTTTAATTGTGCTAATTAAAAATTTTTCGTTTTTTAACTAAATTTATACACAATTTTTTGATCGTTATTCTTTACAAAACAAATAGTCAATTATAACTTTCTACATTCTATTATGCGTAATTTTCACTAGCTCTTGGACGTATTTATTTGGAACCTAATAAACCTTATGGTTTTAAAGTTGCTCGTCGGGCATTGCCCAATTTCCGTGTAAAATTATTTAGACCATGAAATAAAACATTTTACCGCGAATTCACCGGAAATATAACAATATGACAGTGGCGTATTTATGGGAAGGGGGAAGTGAAAATAAATATGAAAAAATATAATGAAAACAGACATACTACGCGCCATATAGGAATGCACCATGTATTTATTCACTGAAAATATCGATAAATCATCGCGATCAAAAGTCGATTCTGAACGGAGCTCGGTAAACCAGTAAGGTATCGATTGTGTTGTTCTCCCTTGTAGCCAAGGTAGCGCAGAAATCAACAATCTTAAATTTTTTTTTTTTAAAAAAAACCTGTTGGAAATATGTACAAATATTTCAAATAAAGGGCAATAACTTCGTGAAAACCTCGGAGCATTTTTATTAACCTAGTGTGTTCCCAGCGAACTGCAAATGCTGTACGTATTGATCTTATACGATTAGTACATATCTATGCCAATTTTGTATAGCTGAAAAAAAAAAGCAAATACCTATACAACTATAAAACTTTATTTGGGAGTCAACTCCTCTTTATTGAGACACATCGGTTGCGTGTTATATTGTTCCAATAATCCGAAAGAAAAAAAAAACACGTACATATTTGTCAAAAAACTGATTTTCATATTTTTAATAATTATAAACTATATATTAATGTATACATACGCATTATAGAAATTATTTATAAATACAAAAATAAAAACATGATATACACTAATTATTTATAAAAACACAAATATAATACACGTAAATACATATATTTTTTGATTTTTTTTCTTATTTAAAAAAAATGATCAATATTAATTCGTTAAGCTTTGTTTCTTACGAATGTTAACGAATATAATCCGAACAAGTATCAACAAAGCACTTATGGGGCTTCCCGCATTACCTTGTTGTCCCAAAAAAATTTCCAATTATCCGAATCCGTGTCCTAGATAAGCGGTGAACGTTTACGCTACAACTATACATTTGTTTTATAATAATAATTTAATAATTGAAAAATTGCCCCGATTAGGCGGTTGTCCTCTGTTAAGCGAAATCGACCGTATATTTATAATAAAATCGCCTCTGCTCCGTTAATAATAACAATATTATTGAATGGTATAACTGCAATTTTGCGTTTGCGTTTCCCCGTGGGTACAAAATATAATATTACATGAAATTTCGATCCGGTATTTATTGGATTCTAGCCGTATTCAATTACGAAATTCCTGTCTCCGTCCACTCACCCACTCATCCTTACTCACCTCAGATGGTCACCCGTCATTTGGTCCGGTAAAAAATGTACGGAGACAATCGATCCGTGGCATTAGATCCTTGTTCAAAACAACTTGTACCAAAAATATCTTGGGTCAGCTCGAAGTACGGTACGTGTACAACGTGTTCTCTCTGTTCGGCCAACGACACGTACATCATGTGAACGCCTAACACCTTTGATGCCCACACCATGGCAATCCGTGACAAATGATCTCGATAATGAAACCATGCGTGATCATCGATTCGTAATCGAGATGATCTGGTAAAACCAGATGGATAGGACCGTGTTTTTTAAATGGGTAGGACCCGTTCAGACCAATTTTGAAGACCCGTTCGGGCTAAAAATTACTACTTTTATACAACCCGTTTGGACCAGAATTTATAGAATTAATAGATACAGTTATTTATTTAATATAACCGGATTATCGGTATGTTTTAAAACTCAATTTATACACAGAAATCGTGTGTAAACCTAAACAATGTACTTATCACTTTATTTCAAAATTGGTTTTTGTAGTTTAACGGAACGTTTATTTTGCGAGCCATTCTGGACACTTTAAAGTATCGGTCCGAACGGGTTGTGATTTTATTAATGGCCCAAACGTTTCTGGCGCAAACGCGCTTCGCCCTTTTTAAATATTTCATTTCAGTCACACGACCGAATAACCGCGATAACGGTACTTCGGGACAAACATTACGATTTATTTAAATTGAATAATTGTTTATTTGAATTATATTATATTTTGTTGAAATTAATTTTTTTTTTTTTTCAAAATGAAAACGTTCGTTTAAAATCTGTGTGTACGGTTCACATTGATAACATTGCCGATTTACAAAACGATATTAGTAGGACAATCAAAAAATTAATATAATGCTCATAGCGTCGGTAAAACAATTATAATAACGGTATCATATTTATTTAATGTATTATACGCTTTGGTGATAGGAGTCCGCGAGCTATACGGGAATTTATTGCGAAAGATATTGTACAGTTTTCGTTATAATATCGCGCGGCTCTCGTTTTAAAACACGATTAATCTTTAAGTTATCGAACCGTTTTAATGTCGGCATTATATTTCACGTAATTGCGCATTACAGTATTATAATGATCGCGATTTTAATATACATTTTGTACAACGTGTATACCCGTATTACTGCGATACAAAGATTTTAATATCGAAAGACTACGCATTTCGTAATCGCAACTCCGTTCGAATATTGATTTAAAGCTGGGCGGTTGTAGGTTTTTCAAATCGGGTCGAGTCGAATTTAAGCTCGACAATTATCGAGTGTATTTAAAATCGGCAGACTGCCTACTCGAATGTTACGACTGCCGTATAGCGAGTGTCGCGATTATCGGTCACCAATCGGCAATGGGAAAGCGATAAACATAAAATACGTTTCCGCCGTAATGCTTAAAACGAAACAATAACAGTGCATTTTTTGTAAATTCAATCCGTCACGATATTTCGCGGGTAAGCACTTAGTTTCCGTTTATAAAAAACGGAACGGTATTGTAAAGTCGATTACTCAAACTCGACTCGGTACTTGCCAAAGTCGATTACTCGCCGGCCGAATTTAAATATCGCGCAATCGTAAATTATTGATGCGCTCGACTGAAGTTATAAACAAGCGTGGCTTTGTGTGTTATTATTTTATATACGGTTTTAAACGCGATATCGATTTTGTTTCGTCGAAAATTAAAACATCGCAATAAACTACCGCGAGTATGTATTATTATTATGTGAAATGTATTCCGTACAATATAAGGGCGAGAAAAGAAAACGAAAATATATAAACGTTGTATTGGATCGGAGAAATTGAAAGATACGGATATTTCACAAAGCAATGAACCGAAACGTAAGATAAAATATCTCGATCCTTTATTGTTGTGCACTGTATAAAGATAACTTTTGGAACGCGTCCAATGAACTTTAAGTCGACGATTGAAAAGCACTTCACACTCGGTTAGTGTTCCCGAACAAGAATATTAAAACCCCCACCCTCTCACCCCTACCGCCCGTTTCAAAAAAATAATCGTTTACGCGAGAGGTTTTATTAACTCGTTGCATAAAGAACCTATTAAATAATTCCGTCTATTTTATAGTCCACGTGGACCACGGTCCACGATGGACGGCCGTGGTATAGGAAAACTTTCGTGTAAGTACGGTCTCGATAAAGAATAATAATACACAACCATGACAATAGATTTTAAGGGTATACCAGTCTTTGAAATGATGAGTGTTGTTATTTTCATCAAAATGTCATATTAAAATGTTTACATAAAAAAAAAAAAAAAAAAAAAACACTCCATTAAAATCAACTTTGTCTTGTTGATCACTAAGTAAAACTTTTAATGAGCCTGTTGTTAATACTTTGAAGCATTTCCGTTTAGTCTAACGATTTTATTGACAGAGTGTTTATCGAATAACATTAACGTAAAAAAAAAACTCGAAAAATTAAAATGTCTATAACAGCTCAACGATTTTTCCACGTCTAGAAAAGGCATATATAATATTTCCGTTCAAAATTCAAGTCATTACGATCATTTTTCACTGAATCACAACAAAAAACCAAAATTGAAAATAATAAAAACATTATTTTCGTAGGTTTTTTTTTTTTGTTTTTCTCATCTATTATGAAAACTATTCGAAAAATCAAAAAATTTACCAACTAGGTAAAATTCCTCTTCGGAAAAAGTGTTACACTTGATACGCCGGAGCAAGAGTACTGGAAGAATTTCCGTACACCTGTATAAAAATGGAAAAAATAAATAAACATTATTTTGTACAACCGATACGTTGTTCACTCCGTACAGAATCTAAAACACTGTAAAAGCGTAGGACCACCCCAACACAAACGCGTATATTTATATTTCGGTAGGGACGGGGGGGAGACGTGTAAAATTGAATTTACGTTTATTTATTTATTCGTTTTGCCGATAACCTAAGCGGGACCGGGTTATTGCGAGCTCGTTGGAAATCGCAATTTTCGGCGAAGAGGCCGGGGGGGGGGGTTGTGTGTGTGTGTGTTCATTTGGTCTCTAAGACCATCCCGTCTCGCGAAAACCTACCCTCCGGGTATCCGTCGCCAATATCTTCCGATTCGGTTCACGTCCTTACCAAAGGCCTTATCCCCAATACCGGACTGCGTTTCCGGCATTGCGCGCTACCACTGCGGGGTTCTAGCGACGACAACAATATCGTTGAAATACGGTTATCGGCTGTCGGCAAGACGAACGACACGCCCGGCGCGCATTTCTACGGATCGTCGGCCGGCCCGGGCCCGTGACGGGCCGCGAGAACTGATCCCGTTCCGCCGCCCCCGCCGGACAACAACACTGCGCGCGAACGGCGGAAAACCGGGGTAACCGTTCGACCGGCTCCCCCGCGTAGGGGGCGCGCGAAAATAACGCGTACAACAATGTAGTGAAATTTTTATTACATAAACGCCGAAAATAAGTTTTCGCTTGATTATAAAATCCCGGTGGGCGGCGGACCGCGCGGGAAACGGCTCGGCGCGCGGTGGCGGCGGCGGCGGTTCGTCGTCTCGCGGAATAATTAATGTATCTCATTTTACTTTTAGCCGTCGCTGCTCGCTTTTTCAGCGAGTATACACGTGCGCGTACGTATATACCGACGTCCGCGCGCGCCCGCCTTCCTTTTTCCGACTCGGGCCGCCGCTCCTCTCGCGCGGCCACCCGCCCGACGGCCACCCCCCCCCCACCACCACCAACCGCCGCCGCCGCGGCGCGCGCGGAAAGCGAGGGACGCGAGGGACGCGGCGCGGCTTCCGCGGTCTACGGGGGTATTTCGAGCATTGCTAAAATATTAAGATCTTTCAAAATGTCCGCTAGGCTGAGCGGGAAAATTAAAAACGAGAAACGCCCGGGTAAAAAGAGGACGGAGGGCCGGCCGCCACCGCGTGCGGGCGCGCGAGCGCGTGCGCCCGGTGGAGGGAGGGGTGGGGGGGGGGGGGGGGGGGGGGTTGGAGGGGGTTCGCTCGAACTTACGGAAAGAATAATAAAAGACCCGGCGCGACGGCGGTGAACGAGTGCACTTCTTCTCGTTTTATATACACAACAAATATATACGTATACATTATACTCGTCTCTTCTCTTCCGAACGCCGCCTGCCCCGTCCGTGTCGTCGTCGTCGTTCCGCGATTCTTCGTCGTCCGCTCGCGAATTTATACGAGTATGAGGGGAAATTAGGGGGGGGGAGAGGTAGCGATACGTCTACCCCCCCCCTCACTCCTCTCCCGGCTCGCTCCCCTGCACGCTCGAGGGGTTAAATTAAGAAACGTTTCCCGAAATGAAATTTAACACTGCCCTCCCGACCCTCAACCGTCACAACCCCTGCCCCCCCCAAAACCCCCTCACCGACGCGTCAGTTTATTAATGTTCCCGTTTTCTTATAATACGCGCGCCACCGCCGCCGCCCGCAAAACAATGACAAACGGTCGGCCGCGCTCCCGAGACCCGAACCCAGTGCCGCCGAAACGATACGGTGTGTACCTACGGAGCGGGGTAAACGCGCATTTATTACGTGGGTAAACAAACGACGTCCCCGATCGTCCCCCACTCGAACGGGGACGACGCGCCGTACCCCCAAGATGACGGGACGGTGGAACAGGCTGCGCATCGCACGTTTCGACTCTCTTGTATGTACACCGGTAAATGCTGCTGCGGCGATCGTCCGTCCCCGTTGAACCGCACTTTTTTCCGTCGAGTATCTAAACCCCCCCATCTACCCCCCCTCCACGAAAATTGAGATCGTCGCGCTCCGTGTTGTGTACGATACTTAATTCGCCCTCTTCTCCCCCTACTCCAAAAAGGGGCCGAAAATCGGAAATCAGAGCCGGTCGCTTTTTACAGGCCGTATTGAAGCGACGAATTATTGATTACGTTGCGGGCGGGGGACGATTTTTTAGCTTTGTATACACCTCTAAAACGTCCCCACCCTCCCGAATTTAGCCGGAGAATTGCGATTTGGTTCGCACACGGCGTACGCACGTCGCGGACGTGTCTTTCGTGGGTAGGGGGAGAGGGGCGAAGTGGGTTCATACAAACTAAAATGTAATAAATCCCTGGCGTGGACGGCTATAAGTTTTTGAACGGAAAAAAAATTAAATGAAACATTGTAACGGCGATACGTCGGCCGGCGGTAAATTCGACTCTCGAGCCCGGCGCTCGGCCGCTCACGGGTATTTTTCCCTTTGTTCGGGAAATGGAAATCCGAACAAAAACCGCCGTCCAATAAAACATGTCTCTGTCGCCGTAAAAAGCCGGGGGTTTTTTTTTTCTTCGCTCGCGCGCACGGACGACGCGTACAAAATGAATTATTATATTCGTAATAACGATGGTAATATTGTTATTATAATATTATTATTGTTGTTGTCGCGGCGGCTGCGCTTCGCAAAAGAGGACGTTCGCGGCTAAGGAAGATTTTCGAGCCGCGGCGTGCACAATTACTATCGCCGAGCATTATATATCATTTCGCGTAAGATATAATATAATAATAACAATAATTATTATTATTATATACACACGTGTGCGGCGTATTATTATTCAAAAAGTGCGCGTTTGTTCGTACGCGTATACGTATATATTTGTGTGTGTGTGTGTGTGTGTGTGTGCGCGTATAGAAAATGAATGGCTCGCGAGGCGGATGTATATATCCGCGTTCGCCGAGCAAGGAAACCCGAGTACTGCGACGCGAGTGCAACGGCTTTTTGTCCACGGCATTTGGCTGCGCGCACCCGCCTCCGCTCGTAATTTACATTTATATATTATATTTTATATATATATATATATATATATATATACGTATACGCTCAGCGCCGTTTTCCTTTTCTTCAGGGCCGCCGTCCCCCGCCTTCTCCTCCGCCTCCTCCTCCGACGCCCCCTCCTCCTTTTTCCTTCCGGCGACGCGCACAAATCGTTTTTCTATGGTAAACAACAACTACCGCCGCGACACTCTGTCTAGGCGACGCGAGATATTCGCGCGGCGGCATTGTGCGCGCGAAT